CGACGTTGGAGTAGCATAGACAGCATAAATGACATCGCAGTACACATCTCACCTTGGGGATCTGCAGAATTTGCAAAAGAAGCCCAGAAGAAGCAAAAGAAGCATAATCATGCTTCCGATGCTAATTCTGCTTCTATTGGCAATTGTGCTTCTTAGAAGCGGCTTTTGCATCTTGCACAGCAACGATCCATGTGATAGTCAAGCCTAGTGGTGCTTCCATTCCTATTTGATCTCTTGTTGTGCCTAAAAGTGCCACTTGGGCCACAAACCACCAAATTATTGCCACACAAGCTACAGACATCGTATGGTCTCGCAAAAATCACTATAATTTGTAGAGTATTCAATTCTATTATAGTTATATATGGCGCCTATCACATTGATGACACTAGTCCCATAAACCATCAAATACGCTGAACTAGACCCCTTTCTCAATATTAAGCTGTGCACACAGTAAATCAAATCAATCTACCAAGCTAAAATCGTCATAATTTTGTACAATGTTCATATCTATCTGGAAAGTATATAGTCCCTACCTTGTGAGTATCCTACATAGTCAGCACCTTTATTACTACTTGAAACTCCGTACTCATGTGTGCGGAGTTTGAATTTGTTCCGGAAGAATACCGGACCAGTTGGTCATTTCATTTATCAGATGTTCTAAGCCGGAGAAGCCTGAGCCTAAGAGGTCCATGGACTGGTCTATCGGACCAAAATATAGGGTTAGGGGTCTGCACGAACCTTGCGTTGCCGCCAAATCTAACAAAGAAAAGAAGCAAAAGAAAGAGGTAGTATAAACGATGTACCTTCGTTCCTCAGGCATCGTAACCCCAGTTTGCAGAGTCATTTATATATTAGGAGTTCAAAATTGACATAAAACTTCCAATTGTCTACTTTCACTTGCAACTTTCAACTTCTGGCTTTGATCTCACCAGTACCACAATATGACTTTTCTACCTTCCAAATCCTTTCCCAACGTTTTCGTCTATGTCAATGTTTCCCTTACTGGACAGCATCATGCAACCTCAACAGTTGCCCCTAGCCCACCCCGCCTTCACCTCCGCCCCCATGTTGTTTACTTCTGCCGCCCGAGATTGATGGTACTGATGCTTCATTTCTCAGGCATCTGAACACACCAAGTGTGAACAGTCTTTGTTCCTTCCGAGCACTATCACTATCAGGCATCACCAGGGATGAATCACAAGAACTGGAACTGCTCAAGAAGGACAAGCAGGCTCAAATATATTTGACACAGTATTCCGACGAGACAGAGGGAATTTTCATGGTATTTTAGCAATTTTCTGGGAGTCATAGGACCACTTACTGCAGAGTTATGACTTTAGTTATTTTGCCACCAAGCCGTCTGCAGAACGCCCGATTCCGCAGTTACTTTTCCAACTTTATAGTAGACCGGTAGGCGCCAAAGCGCGTCCTTTTAACTTGTGGGAAGTGTCCTTGTCTCTTCATCATTGACAGTGACGCTTCTCACAGGTGAGTCTTTCTATAGATTTTGTCTCTTTCTTTTTCTATTACTCACATCATTGACAGTGACACTTCTCACGATCATTCTTCGAGTGCTCGATTATCTGCGCCTCACATCGTGCCAGCCTTTGGAGTCATGTATAAGTTAGGACAAGTCAGATCCAGCTGACATCTTCGTTCTTTTATATTCTCAGATGTTCGGAACCGTCATTACTGAATAATTATATTTGCAATATCTTCATACACCCATGATGCTCCGGGTTCTCACATGAAGTGAAGACAGATTGTCGATGTAGAGGGTGGAAAGAGAGTTGAGTGAATAACCAGTGGAAGTCAGCAAGCTTTGAAGGAAGAAGATCTCTTCTCCCCACGGTGCCACTGAGGGCCCCCTTGCTGTTCCTCTATAGCATATCAAGAGGGTATGACATTAATGTTGGTGGTATGTATAGGTGTATGAACTTGATTTATGAGAGAAATGATGACAACCCATGTGTGTGATCTACAGGCTGGGGTCATAGTAGCTAAAGACATGTTTCTGTGGGATAGAGAAAGTGTCCATCAATTTTGAGAGAATGATGCAGAGCTAGTACTTGGTATGCCACCCCTTTGCAGCAACCAACATCTCTCAATCAGTCGTACACGTACAGGGCCTCTAGAAAATCCTTATACACATTCTCCCACTCCTCCTGTAAGATGACCCACAGCTTCACACTATTCGTAGGTGGTCTATACACTATTCGCAGGTGGTCTATTTTGGGCACGCACACGTCTTGTTGGTTGTGGTTGTGGCGGACGTTTGTGGGGCCACTGTGGCACAGTTCGGAGTTCTCCTCGGTCTTAAAAACTCGTCCATGTACATACCCTTACCCTTGTCTCTGTACCCTATTTCTGTGTCTGTGTGTGCTGGGCCATTAGTGAGCGTCTATTCCCGACAAATTTAAGATGATTGCCGTGCTGAAGGTGGATGCTGCGGGAGCATGGAACGAAGCAGTAAAAGGTTGGCTTTCCTCATTCCCCTGCCTCCTTGTCTCTCCCCTCCTGTTTTCATAACTGTGGAAGCGATTCCGATTCTAAATGTGCCACTTTTATCTACCCAATATCACAGTTGTCTCACAGGAATCGCGCACGTCGCTACCAACGTCTCCCTCTCCTCTGATCTTCTCCACCACGTCCTGCAGCTGCTTACCCACGACGACTTCAAGCCCATGTTCAAAGCAGCGGGGTTCATAACTTATTTTTGCCCAGAGTCGTCATCTCGTCATTGTAAGACTCAGTTCTTGATTCACCAACACAGTCTTCGCTCACATCCCCTTCCATCCGCACTAGCCGTATTCACCCTCAACGTCAATGGAAGCCTCCTCCCCGCATCCATCAACTGTACGCTACCCTTCATCTCGTGAAAAATGGTCGCTAGCCTTCATAATCTGGATGATGCTCTCTCCGCGGGTGAAACAAGTGGTTTGAGTGGTGACAACCAAGGTGGGAGATGAGTGAGTGTCGCGGTGAAGAGAGTTTGTTTGTGATGAGAGACAGAAGATGATGACATTTTGATGAGTGTATCAGTTGAACTACACTGGGCTGAGCGCGGGTGACAATACTCTGCATTGGGAAGCCGTTGACTACCTTGCTCACCAACTATCGTGTCTGTAACTCTGCATGGCCGTATCTTAGGGGTTGACGGGCTTTAGTGTCAAATGTTTCAAAATTGGGAGCAACAGAGCGCGTTGCGGTGCGAGGACCCTGGTTTGTGGAGTGGTCATTGTATCACTTGACTCATCTGTGCATCTGTGCCAACAGCAGTATTTTATCTGTTCACATTGACCGGAGATGCTCTTCGGCTTGTTGCCCTCTGAGGTTGATACAGCCATCTATGAGGGTTTGGCTTGTATTCCCATCAGGGCATGCCACGATTATATCCGTGCGAGTACCTGTATCCGTGGGAACAAGTACCTGTTCCCTCAGAGGCCACACCTGTATCCGGGGTGGCATCCGTGGGAACGGGTATCCATATCCACGGATACAGGTACTTGCCAATGGGCAGGTACTCGTGGATAGAATGAGTCTACGGGTATCTTGTAGGTACCTGAGGGGTACCCGTGGGTACTGTGGTACATATAAGCTGGGGAAGGGGGTGGAGAGGTACTCACCAAATCAATAGCATTGTTCCCAATGACGAGTGGGCCGAATTGCATGAAACCAAGTACAGGGGGCGATGCGGAACATCAACACGCGTCAATCGACCCTGCAACATCACAAATGCACGCAGAATTGAGTGAGAACGAGCGAATTTACGATAGAAGGTAGCAAGGGGTACTCACCAGGTCAATGTTGTCGTTCTCAACGACGAAGGGGCCGGATCACATCAAGTCAAGTACGGGGGGAGATGCGGGACATCAACACGCGTCGATCGACCCCGCAACGTCACAAATACACGCAAAAATGAGTGAGAAAGAGCAACTTTACGATAGGAGGTAGGAGGGGGTACTCACCAGGTCAATACCACCGTCCTCGATGACGGGTGGGCCGAATCGCGTCAAACCAAGGATGGGAGGTGATGCTGGACATCCAAATGCGATGATAGACCGTGCAAC